AAACTCTTCTCCAACAAACACTCTCTCCTCGGCTCATGGCGTGAGGCTAACCCAGTGAGACGACAATTCATGCATTACTCTCACCCTCACAACACCCGCTCACGTATTTACCACATTTTCTTAACAATTGGCACATCACCAACCATACTGTCATCTGTAATTATGCCCTACACCTGGACAGACCATAATGACATAAGACCACAACTTTAGACGCCTTGATCCCCAGGACTAGGGACCCTACCTAGTGTCTAAATGACACCCTTCTGGCTCATCCTGAACACTGTGCTGAAATAGCAATTAAAGACTATCTAACCCACAATAACACACCATATCGCACCCATTACACTGTGGTAAGCTCATGAGCTGGTGTTTTAGGAGGAGTGCTTATAAGTTAGGCAACCCACTTAAAAAGAGAGAGATGGTTACTCCATAGACATCTAGACGCCACATTCCATCAGTCCCACATAGCCTTTCAAGCTGACCCCTCCCCCAACCACAAACAGGCTTTTGAGAAAGCCTATCTAGAGTTTGATGTCTTCCTAACTGAATCAGCTGAAAAAGTGCTGGTAGGTCCAGACACAGACACTACAGGAAAACCAAAAACCTGACACTTTCCTAGCCCTGACTCTCTGCAACCTAGACAGATCACACAAACCTATTTGACTGAAAATAGCCAGAGATTCCTATACAAGTAACCCTTTGAACATCCTAAGAGTGTTTCTCAAACACCTTGCGGACCTCTATTCAGCAAAAACCTAATTTGAGGAATCCAAAGCTGAAGCTCTTTTTTCCAACCTTTGACTCCCAACCTTAACACTGTCACTGTGCATCTCTAGAGCAGCCAGTCTCTGACTTAGAGATATTAAATACAATTCAATCTCTTAAAACGAATAAACACCCGGGCCCAGATGGTTTCACAGCCTCTTATTACAAACGTTTTGCTGGCCTCCTTGCCCCGCTATTAGTCAGGGCCTTTATCTCTCTACTAAAAGACCACTCTTTCAGACCAGACTCCCTCACAGTCATCATCACTATGCTACCCAAGCCCACCTTGGACGATACCTCCTGGTCCAATTATAGACCCATCTCCCTCCTTCACGTTGACATTAAGATACTAGCTAAGATATTGTTTACACGTCTGAATAGGGTTATAGCCCTTTTTACTAAACGGCCACTAGACATGTCTCATAGACACTTCAAGCTCCTTCTGCATATCATGACTGCAGTAAAACAAATCATTGCCAAGGCCTGTAAATCCCCTCACCTCCACATTTAAGAAGTAAAACATAGGATCACCAGAGCCATGATCCATGCCAAGGTCGAAGCAGTCCTTTTGGATAAAGAACGTAAATATGAAATGCTGTGGAAACCTTTGGTAGAACATTTTGATTTTGATTAATCCCTACTTCTTCCATGTTAGAACCCATGCAAGTTTTTGGTTCACTAAGGTTGCTGCGCCTCTTCCTCTGGGCCCCCCTCACCCCTTCCCCGCTCCTCCCCACCATACCTCTTTACCACCCCTCCCTTTTCCATCATATACACCTCCTGCTCTCTTTCTTTTATATACTCCCCTTCTCCCCCTCTTTCCTTTCTTTTTCTCTTCCCCACTTTTTTTCTTTACCCGTAGGTTGTTCTCCTATTGGTCACTAGTGGAACATCCTTAACTATACCAATCGCGATAACTACAATTCAATACCTCCCCAGTTAAGCAAACAAATACAACAGAAATGTTTCCCTCAACTGTATTGCTATGCTAATCATCACATAATACTAGCCTCGCCCTGACTTGTCTGCTTTCTATATACCGACCAATGTATAAACTTGGCTCCATTGAACTCTTTTCATTAATATTATTTCTGTTCTTAGTGCTAGGGGCTGCATCCCCACCATATATAAACGCCCTCCAGGCACTCTTTGAATTGGTACTGTTAATGAGGTTATCTCCTGTTGTTGTATATATATATCAGTGATCTCTAGACCTGTAATTGTTAATTCAGTTATGTTACCTTCAATAAATCACTTGAACAAGAAAAAAGCATGACTGTACTGATGAAATAAACAGAACGCCCATGTGAAAGAATCCTAAGACTGTTCTTGTTACATGTGTGAGAGAGACTAACTATGTGTTTTGCAGGTGAAGTGGTGGCAAGTCTAGTGAGGAGATCTGCGTCCAAAAGAGACTTGCTGCTGTATAGTGGAAACGTGGCTGAATCTGGGGGGTACTGGGGTGGGCTGTGCCCCCCCAGATTTCAGTTGTGCCCCCCAGCCTTTGACCACTGAGCTTCCCTCCATCCCTGCACTCAGGGCCGGCCACAGTGAACTGAAGTATACAGTCCAGACAGGAGAAGTGACAGCGGCAGAGAGGAGAGAGTGGTGAGGAGGTGCAGGATTCTCTGTGATCTCCCTCCTCCCGTCATTACAGCATTGAAGGTTACACAGGATCACTCTTAGATCTGACGGTACACGGCTTCATTAGCTGCCCCCATCTCCTTCAAAGACTGTCAGCTCCTGGAAATGTGAATGGGGGCAGGTAATCAAGCCATGCACTGTTGGATCTAAGAGAAATCCTGTGTAACCTTCTGTATGGAGGATCACTGTTATGACAGGAGGAGGGAGATCACAGAGAGCCCTCATCTCCTCACTACTCCTGTAGTTCCCACATGCAAGATTGGAGGAGGGGGAGCTTGTGGAGGAGGGGTGGTGGGGCGCTGTTTGTGCTGTGAAGGATAATTGGAAAAGATTTGTGTTAGGAGGGGGGAATTGGGGGTTGGGAGGATTAGTGCTAGAAGGAGGGAAATTGTGCGAGATTTGTGCTAGGAGGGGGATTTGGGTGGGGGCGGGGATTTGTGCTGATAAGGGTGAGAATTTAGGGGGGGATTTGTACTAGTAGGGGGGGGCTTGTACTAGGAGCGGTGATTTGGGGGAGGATTTGTGCTTGGTGGGGAGCATTTGTACTAGGAGGGGAGATTTTGGAGAGAGGAATTACAGTAGGAGTGGAGTTTTACGGGGATTTGTACTGGGGTGGATTGGAAGAGAATATGTACTAGGAGGGGGGAATTTGGGGGAGACTTTGATTTTTTTTTTTGGGCATGGAAGATTTGTGGGGAATTAGGGGGATTTGAACTGGAAGGTGGGATGGGGGCAAAGATTTGTGCTGGGAGGAGGATTTTGACTGTGAGGATGGGGAATTTTTGCATTTTTGGTTGGGTAGAATTTGGGTTTGCAGAGGGAATGTCTGCTTAGGGCGTGAGCGTGTTGATTAGTGCTAATTTGTTTTTGAGAGGGTGGAAGGTGGGGGCGCAGTTTGTCACCTTCAGTGCTAGATGACCTTGTCATGGCACTGCCTGCACTGCACACAAGGCACTCAACAGATCTTCTCCTCCCCATATTACACATGGCTGAGATCAGATTCCCTAACACACACAGCATTGATGTGAACAATGTGTAACTGGCTGCTATGTTGCAGTTCTGACCTATGAAATTTCCTGATTGGATTGGCAGCTGCAGTAGCCAGCTACACACTGTGTGGAGGGATACCGATCTCAGCTATGTGCTGTGTGAGGAGGAGGAGATCTCTTAAAGCGGAGTTCCACTCAAAAGCAGAAGCTCCGCTTATATGCCTCCTCCCCCCCTCCACTGCCATATTTGGCACCTTTTGGGGGGGAGCAGATACCTGGTTTTGACAGGTACCCGCTCCCACTTCTGACTCAATTCACAGCGGCGAAGTGAGCCTGACGTTCGGACCCCTCCTTCCTCCCGCAGTCTCCTGGGAACTATCACAGGTCAAATCAGGAGGAGCAGGGAGACTCGGGCATGCGCAGTGGGCACCAGGCTGTGAAGCCGCAAGCTGTTACAGCCTGGTGCACACAGTTGAGATTCCGGCGCCATGGAGGAGAAAAGGGTTGAAGGGATGGCTTAGGTGAGAACATCACTGGACCCTGGGACAGATAAGTGTTTGTTTATTAAAATTCAGCAGCTACAGTTTAGGTAGCTGCTGACTTTTAATAAACACAAAAACAGCTGGAACTCCACTTACGTGTCCTGCTAGCAATGACCCTGTTCTCAATGCTGCAAACCACTATCTTCCACCATGCTAACCCCTGTCCTCTGTCCTGTTGACCCCTGTCCTCTGCCATGCTAGCCCCTGTACACTGCCTTGATAACCCAGTGTACACTGCCCTTCAAACTAATGTACACTGTCTTACAAACTGCTGACCCTGACCTCTGCCCTACTGACCACCTGTACACTGTTCTTCTGACTCTTACACACTGCCCTGTTGACCTCGCATCCTCTGCGCCCCCTGACATTTTTCACTGCACCCCCAAATCAGACAAGCTAGATCCGGCCATGGTGGGGAACCATGGGTTAATGCTGAACCTGCCGCAATATTGAGGACTGATATGGACTTGTCTTCATGCAGTCTTATGTGTAGCAGGGAGACAAGTAGTAAAACTAAACATGATGATGTGTTGCTTACTGATGAGTTTAAAAGTGCTGAGGTAAATAAGGGGTTAAAGCCACCTGCTATGGCTGAAACAGTGGAGTCTTATGAAGTTAAAGTGTTACTAAACCCACAACAGTAAAATCGTCTGTATTTGCAGTACAGCATGCTTATTATACTCACTGTGGAAAGCAAGGGGTTAATCCTATGCATTGTGTCCTCCCCTTCTACTGTCCCCATTTAATCTTCTAATCGAACATAGCCTCTTGGGGACACTCTGCACATGCTCAGTTTGGTGTGTACTGCTAGAGACGTTTTTCTTTTTCTTGGGAGAGTGCATGAGCTCAGCACAGGACCAATCAGCACTGTCCAGACAGAGGGCCAGGGGCTATGCAATCTCATAGGGCAGTGAGAGGAGAATGAAAACTCCTACAAGCTTTAGCCAGTTCTCTACTGAACACTGATAGAAGTCACAAGACTGCTCTAACTGCTGATTGGAAAAGGTATTTAGCAGTTTATATTTTCTAAAAAATAATTGCACTTCCATGTTGTGTGTACTGTGGGAGACCAGATATAGTGGATGCAGGATCATGGGTTCAGTAACACTTTAATGAAGCATTGTCAGTGCACAGTGGTGAAAATGTGGTATTGCAACCAGTTATGCCAGGGGTGACCAATAAGAGATGTATGCAATTGCCCCTGGCAACCATGACAGGTGCAGCAAAGGTGTCCCTGTAGACCTCCCAGGTAGGGTTGCTACCTCATCCCTTTAAAACCAAGCACATATTAATTACACAGGGTTTGTGGCTGATTAAGATGGCAATTAAACTCACTTAGTACCTTAGCTGTATTAAATTAGCCTCAGAATCTGTGTAATTAATGTATGTTCAGTTTTAAAGGGATGAGTTGGCAACCCTACTCCCAGGAGCTCATGGTGTCCAAGGTGGAGGTTTCCCAGGACAACTGTGTAGCCTATCTGATGGGCAGGAGTGTTTATCTTAACATGAAAAATGGTGTACAAAATGTCCCACAGGCTCAAGCTGGTGATGGTCTGAGAAGGCCTCTAAAAATCAGAAATGATGGTAATGATGATGTTGGGAAATGTATTAATTCCTTCATGCCTAACGGGTAAAACAAATCTTAAAGCCTAAGCACAATTTTGCAACTTCGACATGTTACCAAAACTGTACATATCTACACAACTACTTTGTGCATCCAGGTGGATTATACCTTGTTTTTTTCAGGACAAATTGGTGGTAAATGGCAATGCATATCTACTGATTTTTTGTTTTTTATTATCAAAGGAAAACTGACCCAACATAGTAAAAAAAAAAAAATATATTTTTTAATTTAGCTTTATATTTATTGCTAGTACCATAACCAACCACCAAAGAACAACCCAAAATAATTTTGTGTATGTTGTTGTTTGTGCCTGTAGTACAGTCCAGTAACAATAGTGCGCATTCTGCTTTTTTTTTATCCTGCACTGACACTGATACTAAATTAAAAAAGAATCCTGACAAAAAAAAAAAATACTGACCCTGACCCTTGACCCAAACACTACCCCTGGCACTGACCTAGATCAAACCCTGATCAAGGTATTTTTATTTATTTATTTATTTATTATTTTGATGTATTTATTTTTACAAACGCTTTTTTTTTCTTTGAAAGGACAGAGAGAGATGCAATGTATCTCTCTCCTCCATTCAGAGAGAGAAAACAAGGGGTCGGGCTTCACAGTGACTGATCACTGTGATATTCAATCAGAGGCTTTCACAGCAATCATGTGACCCAGAATCGGGAGTTCCGGGTCCTGATCGTTAGAACAGGACCCATGGCTCCCAATGACACCCCAGTCTTTGTGCTGAGCACTGTGCGCTCCCAGCACAAAGACAGGTACACAAATTAGCAACCCCACGGAAAAAAGTCCAGTCCAGTGGGGCCACAAATTTGCGTATGCTTGGCGCCAAGGGGTTAATGATGATGAGGATGGTTTGGTATCTACTATGGCAACCACAGGCAGTGCCGCAGAGTTGTCCCTGGAAGTCTCACAAGGACTCCCTGTGTTGGAGCTGGTGGTTCTCCAGGACAGCTTGATACTGCTCTGGTGGAACAACAGGGGAAACTGGCTCAACTGGTAGAACATTATAATATCTGAGTCTGATGTGGTTGGAGGTCACTGGAGCCCAGACATAATAGACTGGGATTATCTGGCCGTATATGGATGAGGAGTGAGTCCCATTTAAGACAATTTGTATCAAGCATAGAGATGTTACACTGTCCACCATTTATATCCAATCTATAATATGCACCTAGGTAGCTTCCATGCATGCAATAATGTGAGTTATGATCTATAACTGTGCATTCATGATAACATTGTGTAAGCACTCAAAAAAATCTCTAGATATACAGTTTCTACCCACCATCTAAAAACAGCTGATTGGTTGGTCAAGCACTTTTTATTTTAACATGAAAAGATCCTAATTGCACTTTACTGAAAGCAACAATTACGACCTACAGCAGTTAAGCTACAGTGTCTACAACCCTTTTTGTAAATATTTTATTATATCTTTTCATGTGACAACACTGAAGAAATGACACTTTACTACAATGTAAAGTAGTGAGTGTACAGCTTGTATAACAGTGTAAATTTGCTGTCTCCTCAAAATAACTCAACACACAGACATTAATGTCTAAACCACTGGCAATAAAAGTGAGCCTAAGTGAAAATGTCTAAATTAGGCCCAATTAGCCATTTTCCCTCCCTGGTGTCATGTAAACTCATTAGTGTTACAAGGTCTCAGGTGTGAATGGGGAGCAGGTGTGTTAAATTTGGTGTTATAGCTCTCACTCTCTCATACTGGTTACTGGAAGTTCAACATGGCACCTCATGGTAAAGAACTCTCTGAGAATCTGAAAAAAAGAATTGTTGCTTTACATAAAGATGGCCTAGGCTATAAGAAGATTGCCAAGATCCTGAAACTGAGCTGCAGCATGGTGGCCAAGACCATACAGTGCTTTAACAGGACAGGTCCCACTCAGAACAGGCCTCGCCATGGTCGGCCAAAGAAGTTGAGTGCACGTGCTCAGCGTCATATCAAGAGGTTGTCTTTGGGAAATAGATGTATGAGTGTTGCCAGCATTGCTGCAGAGGTTGAAGGGGTAGGAGGTCAGCCTGTATGGTCTTGATCACTGTGCTGCAGCTCAGTTTTAGGGGTGTACTCACTTGTTTCCAGCGTTGTAGACATTAATGGCTGTGTGTTGAGTTATTTTGAGGGGACAGCAAATTTACACTGTTATAGAAGCTGTACACTCACTACTTTACATTGTAACAAAGTGTCATTTCTTCAGTGTTGTCACATGAAATGATCTAATAAAATATTTACAAAAATGTGAGGGGTGTACTCACTTCTGTATGTTACACACAATATACTACAGTCAGTACTGTTCAATAACTTATTAGAAGTGGAAAATTTGAGGATCTCTTGATACCAAGCCAATGTCAGGTAGACCAAGAAAGATTGCAGAAGAACTGCCAGAAGAATTGTTTGAGATACAAAAAAAACCCACAGGTAACTTCAAGAGAAATACAGGCTGCTCTGGAAAAGGACATTGTGGTTGTTTCAAGGAGCACAACATGTTGATACTTGAACAAAAATGAGCTGCATGTTTGAGTCGCCAATGCCACAAAGAAACCAGATTACAATATGCCCAACATCCCCTTGACATGGTTCACAACTTCTGGAACATTGCAATTTGGAGTGACAAGACCAAAATAGAATTTCATGGTCACAACCGTAAGCACTATGTTTGGATATGGCGACAAGAGTTTCCATCCCCACTGTGAAGCATGGTGTGGCTCATTGATGTTTTGGGGGTGGGGTGGTGAGCTCTAAAGGCATGGGGAATCTTGTGAAAATTGATGAATGCAGTATGTTATCAGAAAATACTTGCAGACAATTTGCTTTTCTCTGCATGAAAGCTGCTCATGGGATGCTCTTCCAGCATCACAATGACGCTAATCACAAGACCAAATTAAAAACCTCCAGTGGTTACAGCAGAAAAAGGTGAAAGTTCTGGAGTAGCCATCACAGTCTCCTGACTTTTATTTTATTAAGCCACTCTGGGGAGATCTCAAAAGTGTGGTTCATGCAAGATGAGCAAACACTTCGCATGAGCTGGAGGCATTTTGCCAAGATGAATGGGTTGTTGTACCACCTGCAAGAATTTGGGGCCTCATAGACAACTATTACAAAGGACTGCACACTGTCATTGATGCTAAAGGGGGCATTGCACACTATTAAGAACTAAGGGTATGCAGACTTTTGAACAGGAATCATTTCTTTTGTTTACTTGTTGCCATGTTTTGTTTTATGATTGTGCCATTCTGTTATGACCTACAGTTGAATATGAATCCCATAAGAAATAAAACAGATGTGTTTTTTTGCCTGCTCACTCATCTTTTCTTTAAAAATGGTACATACTGTATATTACCAATTCTCTAAGGGTATACAAACTTTTGAGCACAACTGTATTACCAGTCCTATCTCACAAACTGAGCAAGCCTATTACTTATCAGCCTTAAATATATACAGTTTGTATTTTTCACCCTTTTCAGCTCTAGCAGATTTGACCTATCAGCTCCCTTGCATTACAGGGAGAGGTGTAAAGTTGGGGGTGGACTAGAAATTCCAGAAGACATATGAAAAAAGGCTTGGAGATCCTGAAGATGGATACCAAACAGGATCTTCCTGGGCTCCCTATGAAAACACCCTTCCCCCTTGATTCAACCTGATTGTTGGAACACCCCAAGCATGAACTTGGAACAGGACATTTACAATCACAATCCTTACCCCCTAGTTGATGTTTTACACTGAAACTGTAATCCTACAAGGCCAGGACCAACAATTTACCTTCTTGTCTTTTTTCCCCTCATTCTTATGAGCCATCTACTTGAGAGGAGTTCACTTTATAGCCAAGCATTCCTTCTCAATAGCCACATTTTTCTTTTCATCTTCATTCAGTTTTCTGTTTAGGTACACTATGGGGTATCTTTCCCATTGTGCACCAGTGCCTTCAGATTCAACATCTTTCACAACAGTCTGAACTATGAGCTTCTTGGTAAAATGTGGGGAGAACACAAATGGTTGTGCATTTAGTGCCCTCTTCAGGATCTGGGAAGATTCCTTAACTTCTAGCGATTAATTTAATTTAACAGATTTTTTTTCCTTCAATGACCAGTCATTTGGGCTGCAAGAGTTGCAAAGTTTGAAATTAATCTCCTATATAGTAACCATTTAAACCAAGGAAACCTGTGAAATGTACCTCGTTTGTGAGACAAGGTCAATCCTGGATGACTTCTGTTTTGCCTAATTGAGGTTTTCTGTCTCCACAACCAATAATGCAACCAAGTACTTGGCTTATTGTAAACTGATGCCACAGTTTTTGGGATTTGCAGTGAGACCTGCTTAGTGAAAAGCATTCATTACAGCCTAAACATGGGACAGATGAAATTCCCAGGTAGTGCTATGTATCACTATAGCGTCCAGATACGCTGCAGCATACTGCTGGTGGGGTCTTAGAATTCTGTCCATTGTCCTCTAAATTGTGGCCAGAGCAAGGCCAATAATGACAGGCTCTCCGTAATATGTCTATGAACATGTCTGCCCTGGGCATAGGGTAAATGTCAAAT